CTAAGTAGTACCTTTGCCCACCCTGCCCTTGTCCCGATGTGCACCGTAAAGAAAAACCCTAACGAAATGAAAAAGCCCGCCTCCCCACGGGTCAACCTACAGTCAAAAACCTGGGAGTGAAACCAGGCCTCCTCTACAGAGGTCCGATCTCCCCAACTCTTATCAAAAAACCTGTTCTTAATCATTATCCTGCTCCTACAGTAACTGTGTAGCTCAGCAGTTATGTAAACAACCAAAAACCTTAATAAACTGTGGTTATATTGATTCAAACAATAACTGGGAATATTCATATTCAAATGATGAATAGAGAACCTTAGGAATTCTCAGATTCTGTCGTTTCGAAAGGCCTTCCAGATCAATGCATTTCTCTGATAGTACTTCAACTTGCCCAGAGAGTCTCCTAACTTTGTCTTCCAACTCTTGTATTGTGTCTGAAGTGTCGTTAGCAGCATCGGCTAGCTCCTTCAAAGCTTGGTTTTGTGCGCCCATTTGGGTATTAAGCGCCGATATTGCTGTGTCACTTGCGGTTCTCAGCGCAGCTATCTCCCCTCTCAAGGTGGTAGTTACCTCTGAAATCTCCGCCTCGATCTTGTTGCAAATGTCCGACTTCACACGTGCTAGCTCTGCGTGTAGTGATGTTATGGCCTTTAGCACATCGTTGCTATCCGCCTGCTGGGCGCTCTCACTGGCTCTCGTCTCCGTAGTCGAGCCCGAGGCTTCATGCAGGCCTGTCTCCTCGTCCAGGTCATGTTTTGCATTCGTTTTTCTCGGCATTTTCAACGTGCCCGTTCTCGTATAAAAGTTCTCAAACTGTTACTGGGTAAATTTCCCAAAGTTTCGTTCGTATGGCTTTGTTGAAATGGAGTTTTAAACTTAAAATCTGCGAGAGCCACTGGAAAGTGCGTCCTACCCGCTCATCGCTCCCCGCCATCTCTCAACTTTCCCAATCTTTTGTTGCCCCTGTCCCAGTTTTTTTGGAACGTGTTGCAGGCATCAAATTCAAAATGAGTGAATATTTGCAAACAAAAATAAAGTTTTTCAGTTTGAGCTTAAAATATCTTGTCTTTGTAGTGTATTCAATTGAATGTAGGTCAAAAAGGATTTGCAAATCACTGTATTCTGTTTTTATTTACATTTTACACAATGTCCCAACTTCTTTGGAATTGGGGTTTGTACTTTATTTACCCCCTTGGGGAAATGCATGTGTCTAGTAGCTCATTGGTAATAGTTAAAACAGTTAATACATAATAAACAATAATATTTAAATGAGTCCACTTCCTTTGACTGAGGTGTGGTGTATACCCTGATGGCAGTGGGGACAAAGGATCTCCTGAACCTCTCTGTTCTGCAGCACAGTGAGATGAGACATTTGCTTCTCTGTCCTGCCAGAATGTTGTGGAGAGGATGGTTGGTATTGTCCAAAATGGCCTCCATCTTACATTGCATGCATCTCTCAATTAATCAGTAATGTAAATGATATGTTGTTTAGTAGATCTCTAATTATTCGGTGTTTGTGTTGAGCAGAGATCAGAGGTGTAGAGTGAGTGATGTAACAGAAGGGGCGCAGCCACACTGACACAATCTGTCCAGCTGAACCGCTGCTCTCAGATCAGTGTGATGATGATGATGATAATGATGATAATGTCATGATGCGTTCCGACCTCACGGTGGCGCCACAGTGACTGCTGCCAAAAATAAAATCTTTAAATCAGAGGATTCAGTCTGATGTGTGTTTATTTGTTTCAGTCATTTTTCAACCAAAAATGTGAAATATTCTGTGCTGAGGATTCATTATTTTTATTATCACTGAATCTGATTATTATTGCCTTGATTAATTGATTAATTTGTTTATAAAATGTCATTACGAGTCTGAGGAAGTCCAATTTACTGTCATAAATGAATATGAATAATACTTTTCAAAGACATTGAAGAAGCTTAAACAATGTTTGACTGTTTTGCTTGAAAAGTGACTTGAAAAGGTCGATTGATTATCAAAATAGTTGTTTATTTTCTACCAATCGACTAATTGAGTGATTGCCTAATAGTTGATTAATAGCTTGGTTTCAGCTGAGTGAGGATGTGATGTTTCTCTTGTCTGAATGGTCTGAACAGAAATTTAATGACTGTATGTCACCTGAACCAGAACTGGACTGCTGAAACAATTGATTGATTAATTATGTGATTAGTTGTTATGTTTCCCGCCTCTCAGATTCTCTCTGGTCTCTGTCACAGTAACTGAACCTCCTTGGGTCGGTTGGTCAGACAAAATGAGATGTTTGAGGACGTTACCTTGGACGTCTTTATTCCTTTACACTTTATAAATTAACAATTAATCAAAGAAATCATCTGATTGATCAAAAATTAAGGTAATTAGTGGTTGCAGTCATAATTCTGACCTGAAACATGCAGAGATGTTCAGTTAGTGTGAGAGTCATGAGTCATGACCTGCATGGTCAAATAGGGACAGTGCTTTTGTTAGCCTGTTAGCTCCTGCAGCTAATGCCTTCCTGTCTGAATGTCACCACAGCCTGTGAGGACAGTTGATCTCTGACCTCACCTGAACCTGCAGCCTTTCCTGTGTATGGACAGAGGCGGCGGGATCAGCAGGTTCCCACCTGTGCTGTGTGATCTTATTTCTTTCTGATTCAGAAACAGACTGTGATGATGCTGATGTTTGCCTGTCACCTGGTGACATGTTTGTAATGAAGCAGTGAGGTTTCACAGATCAGGACTGACACTGACCTGTATTTATCACATGGACGGAGGATCAAATTAAACAACTTAAGATTCTGACAGGTTCATTCATGTTTACTGTCTTGTGTGTTAATTTACTGGGAGCTCTGAACACTTGAAGAGCTGTTGAGAGACGCAGTGATAAACACTGAAGAATTATTATTAAATCCTTTATTTAAACAGGTAGTCTCGTTGAGATCGGGATCTCTTTTTTAAGCTAGACCAGTGTATAAAAATAAACATATACATTTTATACATAGACGCACACATAAATTCACAGGGATTAAAATGGACACAGGTAATTCAAAGACAGACATTATACACTTTCACATTAAAAAAAGAAGTATGTGCAGGTGTGATTGTAAAAACATGAGTATAACCCTTTAAAATGTTTGAGTGAAATAAGAAATTATAACTTTTTTAATTTTTTTGGAGCTTATTCCATCATTCTGCACCGCAGTATCTGAAACCAGTTTTTCCGAGTTCAGTATGAGGTTCAGCTTAAGTTAAAATGTCCTCTGACCTGATGTTGTAAGTCCTGTATTTAAAATGAAATGATTCAACACAGAATAGATAATATAAACTAAATGATCTTTCACTTTTACTCTGGCTAACAGAGCTCAGTGCAAAGGACAAAGTTTCACCAGTCTAGTAGAAGTGTGTGTGTGAAGTAGGTCATATGATTAGGATATTAATAAAACTGTTTGATCAGTTTGTGCAGGGAAAATCCAAAATCTGTGCTCACACCATTTTTGTTAAATGAAACTTTTTACAGCAGAGAACTCATAACATCCACATGACTCTGAAATAGTCACTCATTTGTTTGTGCAAAGGAAACACACACATACACACACACACACACACACACACACACACACACACCCACACTCACTCCCTCACTCACTCGCTCGCTCACTCACTCACTCACTCACTCACTCACACACAGTAGATTTCTCCACTTCCTGTAGTGACCAAACCCAGACAAGCTGAAGTGCAGAGGAAAAGCTGTTAATAGACCAGTAATAAAACATTTCATGAAAGCTGTCATATTTATAAGCTACAGTAGTTCAGATCCAGGCTGATGTGTGGCTGTGTGGCATTATCATGTTATTGACAGAGAGATTATATATATGTATATATGTATATATGTATATATATATATACATATATGTCTGTTTGTGTATATATATATGTGTTCTCTCAGCTGTTCTCTCTATTATAACAGCTTGTCAGTCTGAACTCTTTTTGCTGCTTTGAGTTAACGCTCCTCTGTCTCTTTTATAACCTGAGTTCTTTTGGCCCGTTGCTTCCCTGAAGCTCCACCCCCTCAGGGTGTGGTTGGGGGTGGCGGGGGGCTGGGCTAATCCTGGATATGGACCAGGACCCCTGGCTCCTGGCAGGAATTACAGATGTTTATAGAGATGTTGTTTGGCTGTTTCCAGGAGTCCAGAGACTGAAGCTCTGCCCCCGAACACACTCTGAGCCAATCACAGCTCAGAGAGGCGGAGGGGCCTGGTGGGACAGGGGATGGGGGGCTGTGCCAGCTGTGTGCCAACAGCTGGCTGGAGGTCAGGAAAGAGTGAGAGGTACTTCTGCTGCCTTTCTGACTTTTCAGAAAACTATTCCAGTCGTTCTCTGTCTTTTCTTTCTACCTGTCTATCTCTCTCTCTCTGTCTGTCTGTCTGTCTGTCTCTGACACTCTCTCTCTCTCTCTCCCTCTCCCTCTGTTTCTCTCTGAGTTTCATTTCTTAGATTTCTTGGCCTGAAGTGTTTCAACTGGAGCGTTGTTGCCAAAAGATCCACATATTTTCAGTTAGAGTTCATCCAGGTTCACGGCTCTGAGGCTGGGAAACAGAAACAGAAAGCCACAGTGTTCCACACACAGACACACAGACACACACACACACACACACTCACACACACACCCACACACACACACACACACACACAGAGAGAGAGAGAGAGACACACCTCACACTTAAATGAAACTTTCCATGTGAGCAGTGTGTGTGTGTGTGTGTGTGTGTGTGTGTGTGTGTGTGTGTGTGTGTGTGTGTGTGTGGCTTCCCTCTGATGTTGTGACTTTCCTGTTGATCACTGCGTCCTCTCTGGGCACGATAACACTGACATGGAGAGGAGGAGGAGGGTGAGGTTTGGGGTGGGGAGGCAGTGGGAGATGGGGTGTTGGACTCAGGGGGGGAGGTGGAGCGGGTGAGGCAGGGGGTGTGGCCGTGGGTTTTCCGTCCTCCTGTCACCCTGTGAGGGAGCCCCTCCCTGTGTTTCTGTCCAGCCTACAGCGAGCGTCAAGCTCACTTCAACCTGAGTGCCTCACTAAGAGCAGCTGCTCCTCCACAGCTCGTCCTCGCCAGCGTCAGCCTCAGCCTCAGCCTCATCTTCATCTCCATCCTCCTCCTCAGGTGTTCTCCCCATGGCGGCCTCCTCGAAGTCCTCCCAGAAGGCAAAGGACGTGGTGCTTGCCCTGCTGCTGCTCTGGTCCCTGGTCTCGCTCATCATCATCGTGGTGTGGTCGACATCTCCGGACTGGAAGGGTGTGGCCCAGTGCAACAAAGAGCTGCAGGGCACGAAGGAGCAGCTGAAGATGTCCACGGTGACATGGAACAATAACAAGGTGGCTCTGGAGGAGAAGGTGGAGAAGACGAGGGAGGAGGTGGAGCACAAGACCGCAGAGATCATGCTGCTGCAGACACACCTCAACGCCACAAACGCCTCGCTGGAAGAGTGTCGCCAGGAAAATGTGAGTGACTGAATTTATACACTGTAAAATAATTTGCTGGTTTAACAAGTCAGACTTTGTTTTCTAAAAGAAGAAAACAGTTCAAACTGTGTTGATGATGAGACAGTTTCTTGTGACAAGACAGAACAATATACAACATTTACAAAAGTTGATTTATAGTGAAAACAATAAACTGTCAGATTTATGTAGTGTCTTGTCTTTGGGGGAAGGTAGTTTTCATGGTTACAGATATAAAGCTGAAGATTAAGTTCCTGGTTGAACCTGAATCAGTTTCTTTCCTTGTATTCATATCTGTGTTTGTGTTTCAAAGCAATCTAGAATTACCTCCTTGTGGTTTCTGCCTCCTCCACTCAGACTAGTTTCAGGTTACGTCCCCGTTTATAAAATATGAACCATTTGTGTGAAATTTTGTCATAATTGCTGTGTGAAGTCTTGAGTTATGGCTAAAAAGTGTGTTGTAAGGTCACCACCACCTTTAATTTTGACCACCAAAATCGAATCAGTTCATCCTAGAGTCCAAGTGAATGTTAATGAGAGAGCTGATTTTTTCAGTTGTTTAAATTTATTTTGAAAGGATTACCCGTAAGTTTTCTCGGCTGCTGAACGTGGTTTCTTTTCAGTAGCAGGTGGTGGTGACTGTCTCCTTTGTTCTGATTGATCCTTATTTTTATAAAACATGAGGTTATAATACGTCCTCTGAGCAGCTATATCTTCAGGGCAGACTGTAGGCTGCAGTGAGTTGCTATTGGAAACACAGGCTGATAAGGGGCTAGCTGGTTAGCATGCTCACTTCAGTAGAAGAAAAGATTGCTTTAATAGGTTTCCACCTCACAAGACAGCTGTTGGTGAGTATATGAATGAAGTTTGATGCTGAACTCACATGTGAACAGTTAAGGTGACTCAGCAGATTTATATCAGAGGAACTAGTTGAGCTACTCAAACTGAAGATGTTATGTTGAAACAACTTGAAATGTGTATTTTAGGTGTGTGACCCAATAGCTGAGTGGTTAGGGAGCTTTACCATGTGGGTGAGTTCTCTTTTTTCTGGCACATTTCCTGTCACCCTTGACTGCCCTATCAAATAATAAAGGTGTAAAATGGCCAAAAAAAACCCTCAGCTCTGAGCTCATTGGTTCCTACTGAGGATGTAAATCTTTTAAAACTTCTCGCAAATATAAAGTTTCTTTTTTTTTTCAAACAGGAGTCTAAAATTAGCGGCGGGTTAATCCACATTTGGTGTTGTAGTGAGTATTTGAGGCAGCAGGACTTGAAATAAACTACAGTGTGTGTTCATGATAGTGCAGCAGGGAGTCTGACTGATTAATGGTTAGTGGGGACAGTGGAGCTCAGAGGAGTCAGATCCACTCAGTTGTTGCTAGTGGGAGGCGTTCATGATTTTAACATTATCACGAAATTGAAATTGAAAATAGCCTCTAGAGTAAAATTGCCACATTTCCAACCGGAGCAGCCCCACCCTCCTCAGAGGAACACTAACAAGTTCAACATGTCCTCAGCAAAACATGAAAATAACACCTATACAATTGTATGTGGAGAAGGATCTGGGAATGTTCCAGGATCTGGACTGAATAGAAACCTGTTTCTAAGCTGACAGAGTGTCTGTGTGAAGCTCTGATATGAACTGGTGTGACCTCCTCTTTACTCTGCTCCCTCCTATTTCCATCCCGGGAGGGTTTCTGCTTCTTCCTGTATAAGGGGTTTGAATAGTTTTTCCCTCTCAGTGTTTAAACTGAAGAGACGTTCAGCAGTTTAGTTTAGCTGCTTCCAACTTTTCCAGCTTCATATTCTCTGAGTTGTTGGTTGGAAAAAGTGAGTGTTTGCCTTCATTCCCTCCCTCCTCCTCCTCTCGTGGTTCGCCCTGACTCATTCCTCCTCCTCCTCCTCCTCCTCTCCTTCACCTCTGCTCCTTATTTTTTTCCTCAGTCGACTTCTTCCCTCCAGACTGGCGTTTTCTCTCTGCTCATCCTGTGAAAGCCTCATTATGTAGGACAAAGTAACATGTATAAAAACGAAAGAGCAGACTCTCCCTGCTCAGGTCTCAGGTCTTCTGCAGCGCGGGGGGTATTTTCTGACCCTGTCCCCTCTGCTGGAGCAGCAGCATCTGCACTGCTGACAGGAAGAGACTTAACAAACCAGCTCTGTCCTGGGATGACCCCTCCAACCAGTGGACAGGAGGATGGCGGCTCAGCTCTCATCCTCAGGTTTGAGGTTCGAATCCGACCCGTGGCCCTTTGCTGCAGGTCATCCCCTCCCTCTCTCTCTCACTGTGTCTATCCAAATAAAGGCAAAAAAATGTCCATAAAATAATGAACACACATCAAATGTGCAGTATCACTTATTTGCTGCAAATATTGATATATTAAAATATTTGATTTGTACATATTATTATCTATCATTTATCCTTTTTAAATTCTTAGTATGTGATGTTGACATTTTGCAGTTTTTTTTTGCACAGTCCACTTTGCTGCTGTAACGCTGCAAAGTTCCCCAGTGGGACTAACAATGTGTGGTCTGATCTGATCTTTAATTGCTGAAGAGAAACTCTGACATCATGTCTGTGTTGTGGACAATCTTAAATGTTACCTTTTATTTATAGAAACTGAAATGAAGAAACGTAAAACATTTCTTGTTAAGCTGCTGTCAAACTCCGGCTTTTTTTTATCTGGTACTACATTACCCAGAATTCACTGTTAACGCTGCATTTTGACCTTGCATGTGTTCTGTAAACATGATATCAAACTCCAACATCGAGCACTGACACACGGTCACTGAGCAGCACACGAGCCAAAACAAACCCTCTGTGTGTGTTGTTGTGAAACATCACCAGTCGAGTCCTGGACCAAGTCAGGGTCCACGTTCAGACAGACTGGCTCTGCTGCATCTGAGAGTCTGGAACAGCAGGGTCTGTAGGAGGTGGCTCCTCAGACTGAATGGACCCCAATGATGTGTAATCATTAGGGTTCAGCTGAGTCCTGATCCCAGACCGACTACTTTTAATATTGATTATCTTCCACCACAGAGTCTGATACTTGTATTGAACTAATATACATGTCTATATGTGTATCAGCCTCAGGATGTTCATTCAGACTGACAGGATATTTTCAGAGAACTGACTGTTTCCTGTGTTCAACCTCAAAAACTCCTGACATCATTTAACCCCTTCAGGCCCGGACTCATCATTCCTACAAAATAAAAGCCTTACCAGTGAGAGCAGTTGTGTTTTCCACCTCCTGCTCTGAGTGAATCCACCTGAATGTCAGCTGACCTCAGAGCAGCCGACAGTCATGTTAACCCAGTGAATGCTGGGTAGATAGAGACGATGATCAGTGATTGGAACTAGAGCCTGGAGCTGAGGCTCTCTGTGCTCTCAGCTGTGAAACGTCTGAACCACCTGTGATATTTGCAGCTGTTGTGTGATATTTTGAGGTGGTGAATTTTTTGGTTCACGTGTTTTTCTTTTTTCAGTTTTATTGCTTTTGTTTCAGGTGAACTAGTGGGAGTCAGTGTGTTTTTCATATGAGGTCTATTTTTTGATCTTGACTGTTAATAATAATATTTTTTTTTTTTCCTGAGCTTAAAATAATAAACTAGTTTTCCTTCTGGAGATGAATAATCAGCTATATGGCCAAAAATATTTGGTCCATCAGAGGTCTGGCTCCTGTTGGATGGGACTTTAGAAATCCCCTTTACTGGAACTAAGAGGCTGAAACCAGGAGAATCAGGCTCAGAACACATCAACACATCAACACATCAACACATCAACACATCAACACATCAACACATCAACACATCAGTCCTCCTTCACCAGGTTATACACTTGGCCCTCCAAACCCAGATTGATCCATCAGAGACAGTGAAGCTTCCATCAGGCCTGTTAAACCTCTGGTCATGAAGCTCCTGGTGATCCTTTAACCCGCTAGTCAATGTTAAACCAAATACAAAAGATTCTTACAATATTAGAAGCACTGAGCTCTGGAGATGAACACAGCAGATGTCTGCAGTGGATCTGTTCGAGCTATGACTGATTTATGGACCAGCTAACGATGGATGAGTCTGAGGCAGCTGGAGCTACTAATTAGGGCGTGTCTACATTCTCCGTCTCTCTTTTTCAGTCTATCTCTGCTGTAGGAGTCCTGGAAGAGGTAAAAGAGGGTTAAAGGGGTTCCTGATAGTGTTATATTGTTACTGGAGTGTGTTCCAGGAGTCCTTCAGGAGGTAAAAACACTGTAGTCCTTGAAGAGGTTCCAGGGTTCCTTGAGAAGATTAAAGTGGTAGAAGATAATGGTCCTGGTGTATGTTACAGGTATCCTTGAGCAGGGTTCTGATGGTTATTAAGGATGTTCAAGGAGTCCTTAAAGAGGTTCCAGTAGTCCTTGGGGAGGATAAAGGCCTCCTTGAGGAGGTTCTAAGTAGAGCTCGACCGATGTATTGGCTGATATTGGCCTATCACATATATATCGGTATCTGCGCATATATTCTCTGATATGCACAGATATGATTACTTTTATTAAGAAGCAATAATGCAGTGGAAATGCGCGGGTCAAGTCAAGTCAGATAGGCAGCATTTTATGTATATTTGATCAATTGTTTTCATTCAAGTTAAATATATATATATATATATATATATATGTATTTATTTATTTATTTGTTCTTATGTTTTTTATTTATAGTTATTTATTTTTATAGTTATTTTATTTAATTCCCAGTTATATCGGCTAATATATTGATATTGGAATATTTTTACTCCCTAATATAGTATTGGCATCTGCCCCAAAAATCCATTATCGGTCGGGCTCTAGTTCTAAGGGGTCCTTGAGTAGTTTCCAGTAGTTCTTCAAGATCTTGCAACACACAACAGACACAACACAACATGTGTTTGCCTCCCTGTCATCAGGCCAACATACAGACATGCTTTATATCCACCTACAGTATCTACCTTTTAGGACCAGCTCAGGTACGTGTGTGTGAAGGTCTAGGTCCTGGTTCTCCAAGAGAAGTTGAATCGAGGGATACTGAACTTTGTTGTAGATACTTAACGTTTGACCTCTGATCCCAGAGACTGACCTCAGCTCAGGTACAGGTGGTGTGGAGCTGAACCTTCTCTATGCTCTGACCTCATCTTCCTGTCAGTAATCATCAGAACTACTAGTGTGAGCTGGTTACGTTCAGATCATAGCTGTGGTTTGATTTATATTTCTACAACAGAGCAGCATGAAGTGAGGAGCTTTATGCAAAGAGGAGTTCACCGCTGTACATCACTTCCTGTTGAGCAGTTTCAAGTGTTCAGTCTATGGTGAGATCACTGTAAAAACATGACATGAGTACAGGACAGTGGTGACTAGTTCAGGTCCAGGTTTCCTTTAAAAGATTAGAAGTCCCCAGAAAGGTTGCAGAGGTCCTGAGGTTCCTGATAGTGTTGTATGGTTCCCGGAGTGTGTTCCAGGAGGCCTTGTAGGAGGTTATAGCAGGATTTGACAGGGTTCTAGTGGTCCTTAAGGATGTTTTCAGTGTCTCTCAGAAGATTCATGTTTTAAGAATCCTTCAGGATGTTTTCAGTCATTGAGAAATATCTGGGTCCGTCATTCTAGGATTCTAGTTGTTCTTGAGGTTTTCCAGGATTCCTGAATATTCTGGAGTGTTGAAGCAGTGAACCTGTGTCAGATGATGTGTTGATAATGAATGAAGCACTCAGCTCTGTCGGCTCAGCTGTCTACATTAGTGCTGTTGTCATGAACAGTGTGAGTACACAGTGTATATTGTTATGAACACTGTGAGTACACAGAGTGAACTGTTCAGTGTTATTGTCTTGACCTCCTAAGGGTGAAGATGTTTGTTTGGACTGTTCCTTTAAGAGCAGGACTCTGCTGGTCTAACTATAACTCCTGCGTTCGATGAAAGGAATGCTTCTAAAAGCCGTTCTCAGAGCTGAGCCGTCCTGCTTTCTGTCACCATCTCAGCTCCAAGAGCAGACAGTCTGAGCTGGCCTGGCCCAGCATGAAGGTGTGTCCTGTTGTAAAGGTGTGACAGCTCAGGTGCTGTCACTTCCTTGAACAGTCTCTGCTCTGAGCTGCATCATGATAAATGACGTTTATTACAAAACAACAATAATACAGAAAAAAGTCTTTGAACCAAACTCAGCGTGGGTGGAGCTAGTGTGATAGAAGTGGACGTGGTCAAATCAAGAATTCCAGGTAAAAAAATCATCTCAGAGACGCTTTATTTTTGACAAAAAAGCTTTTCTGTACAAGAGTCAGGTGTTCAGTGAGAGCTCCAGAATAACGAGTTGATAAACTCATTGCTTTCGTGTCTTGTCTTGAAGAACTGAAATGGCCTGAGCAGGTGTGCACAGTGAGGTTTTGTATTATACTCAGGGCTTGAACACTTTGGTTCCTTCAGCTGTTGTGACCTTTGACCTTCTGCTGTATCATAAGCTTTGATGTAGTTTCTTCTTGTTAGTTTCTTTTCAGGTTTAACACCAACCTGCTGCATCTGACACATTAACATCATGTTGATTTATGTTTATTAATGTCTGTGATAAATTAATCTTTGTTCTTTACTTTTTGTTCAAAGCAAAGATTCCAGGTTTGTCCTTTTTTAAGGACATGAACAAACATTAAAGATTAAACATTAAAATTCAGTTGTATATATGTAAATCCTCATTGACAGCCATTGTAATTTTTTCCACTAAATGCTTAATTTGTCAGAAACCATGACAGAAACTGTTCCTGATACAAAAACCAAAAACCTGAGACTTGTGAGTCTCTCAGTAACATGTGTTTTCTCTCTGGGTGTGTTTGTTTCATGCCTCAGGTCGGCCTGAACAAGAACATCAGCGTCCTGCAGGAGAACGTGGAACAGCTCCGTCAGACGGAGGCGAACCTCACAGCTCAGCTCAGCCAGCAGGAAGGTAGGAAAACCTCCGTCACTGCCATGAAAGGAGACTTTCTCAGCCAGCCACCAGTGGTATTCTTAGCTGCATTTTCCCCTCTGTTACCATGACAACCTGTGAGTCATAGTAAACAAACACACGTGATTGGTTGGTTTAAAAAAAGCAGGACTGTGGTTCTGCTCTGAGAGACGAACAGAGAAGAATTCAAAGAATCAAAAAGCACAAATCATATGAATAAAAAATGATCTGAATAAAGTCTGAGCAGGAACAAGACCAGGTATAAACATCAGGTGTAAACTCAGGTATGATCTTCAGGAATGTGAGGAACAAATGGAGTGATAGAAGGTGTTAGGAAGGAACAATGGAAGGAAATAAGACTGAAAAACAATTAAGTAAAAACAAAGAAGGAAAGAAAGTGGGAAAATGTAATTAAGGGAGGGTGGGAGGTGAAAAGAGAAAAGATATGTAACAACAAATTAAAAGGAAGGAAACAATGAACAAAGAAAGGAAGAGTGGAAAAAAACCAATAAAATCAAGGAAATAAAGAGAAGAATCAAAGGAAAACTGAAAAAGGAAGAAAGAAATATAATAATAAAACCTGAAGGAAAGTATAAAAGAAGAAAAGCAAAGGAGAAAGACAAATAAAAGAAGGAAAGACATTCTGTAAAAATGTTCAGATTTTCATGATTGAAGGATGGAAAGATAACAAGGAAGAACAGAAGAAGGAAAGAAGGTGAGGATTAATGAAATAAGGAAAAAAAGATAAAGAGGAATGAAGGAATGAACAAAATTAAATAATTAATAAGAAAAGGAAGTAAATCAATAAAAATGGAAGGAAGGAATGAAATAAAAAAAGAGGAAAAAATAAATGAAAAGGAGCAGGATGAAACAATAAGGGAAGTAAATAAGGAATGATTAAAGGAAAAGAAGAAAACAGCGATGTAGTAGGAAAGAGAAAGAAAAGCAGAGAAAAAGAGGGAGAGAAAGAAAGAAACTGATAATAGAAAACAGGAAGATTGAAGCTAAAAAAAGAGAAAGAAAGAAGGAAAATTAAAGAAATAAAGAAAAGAATAAGGAAAAGTAAACAAGAAAAGAAGTGTCCCGATTTTAATTCAGAGAGAATGAATAAAGTAATGAAAAATAGAAGAAATACAGGAAAGGAGGAAGGAAAAAGATAAATAAAAGATTACACATGAGGTTCTGAGCTGGTAAATAAAGTTAATAGAGAACTGCAGAGTATATCTGTAACCTGCAGGATGAACTCAGGTTTGTTCTTAGTAGAACAGGTTTGTTCTGTACAGAACAGGTTTGTTCTGTATAGACCAGTTCTATGTAGTACAAGTCTGTGTAGAACAGTTCTGTGTAGAACAGGTTTGGTCTATGTAGTACAGTTATATGTACTACAAGTCTGTGTAGAACAGTTCTGTGTAGAACAGGTTTGGTCTATGTAGTACAGTTATATGTACTACAAGTCTGTGTAGAACAGGTTTGTTCTGTGCATTGGAAACTGGAGTGGAACCAGCAGCTCTCCACAAACAGCTCGCCTCAGTCAGGACTTTGGAATGTGGGGTTCCCTGTAGTGATGTCAGGATGGCAGCGCTACGCTAACGCTAACAGCTCAGAGGAGAGAGGGAGGAGTTCCTGCTAGACTTCACACCACCACTCAACATGGTCACAGAGTCCAGGACTCACTGGAAACTTTTTACTACCTGGATCTCCCTTCAGCAGAGAGGATCAGAGCCTCCTCTGTTCTGTCGACTCACTGACCTGTTGTTACTAGAGCTCCAGAGAGAAGCCTGAGAGAGGAGATGTAAAACTACACTGAGATGAACCACAAATATATCTTCTTATGGATAAACACACAGACAAATGATGAAAGATAAACCTAATGAGATTGAATCTGGGTTTTGAGAGGATTCAGATTCGATCCTGGATTCAGATTCAGACACCTGCTCTAGTTAATTGTTGACAGGGCAACTCAACAATGCTGGTGTGTTTAAGTGTTTTATCCATAAGAAATATATTTGTGGTTCATCTCAGTGTAGTTTTACATCTCCTCTCTCAGCTTCTCTCTGGAGCTCTAGTAACAACAGGTCAGTGAGTCACAGAACAGAAGAGGCTTGATCTCTCTGCTGAAGGGAGATCCAGGTAGTAAAAAGTTTCAGTGAGTCCTGGACTCTGTGACCATGTTGAGTGGTGGGTGTGAAGTCTAGCAGGAACTCCTCCTCTCTCCTCTGAGCTGTTAAGCGTTAGCGTAGCGCTGCATCCTGACATCACTACAGGGAACCCCACATTCAAAGTCCTGACTGAGGCGAGCTGTTTGTGGAGAGCTGCTGGTTCCACTCCAGTTTCCAATGCACAGAACAACCTGTTCTACACAGACTTGTAGTACATATAATGTACTACATAGACCAAACCTGTTCTACACAGAACTGTTCTACACAGACTTGTAGTACATATAACTGTACTACATAGACCAAACTGTTCTACACACAGAACTGTTCTACACAGACTTGTAGTACATATAACTGATACTACATAGACCAAACTGTTCTACACACAGAACTGTTCTACACAGACTTGTACTACATAGAACTGGTCTATACAGAACAAACCTGTTCTGTACAGAACAAACCTGTTCTACAAAGAACAAACCTGAGTTCATCCTGCAGGTTACAGATATACTCTGCAGTTCTCTATTAACTTTATTTACCAGCTAGAACCTCATGTGTAATCTTTTATTTATCTTTTTCCTTCCTCCTTTCCTGTATTTCTTCTATTTTTCATTACTTTATTACATTCTCTCTGACATTAAAATCGGGACACTTCTTTCTTGTTTACTTTTCCTTATTCTTTTCTTTATTCTTTTAATTTTCCTTCTTTCTTTCTCTTTTTTAGCTTCATTCCTGTTTTCTATTATCAGTTTCTTCTTTTCTCTCCTCTTTTTCTCTGCTTTTTCTTCTCTTTCCTACTACATCGCTGTTTTCTTCTTTTCCTTTAATCATTTTATTATTCGTTTATTCTCCTGCTTCCTTTTACATAGATTATTTTTTTCCTCTTTTTTTATTTCATTCCTTCTTCATTTTTATGATTTTACTTCCTTTTCTTATTAATTATTT